CGAATGGTATGAATGTTGCGTTTTAATCATGTACTGTCTTATATGTAAAAGTCTGTTTCCCCCCCCCCTTCCTTTGGATTGTGAGCCCCCCTGAGTCCCCCCAGGGGAAGGGGCGGCATACAAATAAATAAACAAACAAAACAAACAAACAAATATGAGGTTTATCGTGTGTAAAGTTGCATCGTGTGCATTAGTCTGACAATATTATGATTATACACATTTATCAAATATATTAGAATGGAATGGAATAGAACAGAATTAACTTTATTGTCACTTTGAATACACTAATTTGCATACATTAAAATTCTCAAAGGGTCACTACCTCCAATATACACTGCATAAACATGACACAATAAGTAGATAAATAAATAAATAAATAAATAAATAAATAAATAAATAAATAAATAAATGCAAAATTATGCATATACCCATATATATTATATGACACAGAAAAGCAACCTGGTCTAGTTCAAATGTATACATGTACATGATGAGAAAACCTATTCTTGTGAGTTTACCAGGCAGATGGCATAGGGAGCAAAACTGTTACAGAATCTGGTAGTCCTGCTAGAAATACTTAAAAACCTCTTCCCAGAGGGGAGCAACAGAAACAGACTATAAAGCGGATGTTTGGGGTTTTTAACAATGCTTTGAGCTCTAAGCACATAGTGCTTATAAGCAGTATCCTGAATAACAGAAGCAATATTTCTGCAATCTTCTCAGCTGTCCTTACCACTCTCTGTATGGACTTTCTATCTGAGACACTGCTGCAAATGAAATCATTGGATTGGATTCAGACCCACGTGAATTACTGTAAATTTGGAGTCAGTCCATAACATTAAACCAGGAACTCTAATAAGCCTACTAAAATCATTTTAAACATCTGTTGCTTAAAAAAAAAAACTAATGCTAAAATGTTATAAAAATAGAAATTAAAAAAAAATATTCTCTATTTTTTTCAGAAACTCTGGAGAATGGACCTAACAAGCGTGAAAGGTGAGTAAAATTTTCCTTTGCTTATTGAATAGTTCAAAAGCAAATATAAGTAGAGATTGTTGGAAGCAGAAGTCATGGACATCATCCTGTTTCCATCAGAAGGATAACAAGCTCAGAAGACATGGAAAACTTTGATGGCAGCAATTCCCTCACTTCGTAAGCTAAAATTAGGAAGAGGAAAAAAGGCAAACTTGTCAAAGTGGTGGATAAGAGAGAAAGTGATTGACCATACATGGACTCCAGCAGAAAAAAAAATTGGCATCCCTACCCTGTGAAGAGCCTTTAGGGCAGTGATTCTCAATCTTGGGAACTTTAAGATGTCTGGATTTTAATTCCTAGAATTCCCCAGCCAGCATGAGGTCCAGACATCTTAAAGATGCCAAGGTTGAGAAACATTGCATGCCTCTGCTGTCCACATGGTGTTCTCCTCTGTTTAGCAATTGACTCATTACAATACAATACAACAGCCGAGTTGGAAGGGACCTTGGAGTTCTTCTAGGCAAGAAACCCTATACCATTTCAGACAAATGGCTATCCAACATCTTCTTAAAGACTTCCAGTGTTGGAGCATTCACAACTTCTGGAGGCAAGCTGTTCCNAGACCATCGAAAATATGTGTTTTCCAATGGTCTTAGGTGACCCCTGTGAAAGGGTCGTTCGACCCCCAAAGGGGTCCCGACCCACAGGTTGAGAACTGCTGCTATACATGGAGTACATTTAACAATTAATATCATTTCTTTAATGTCTCTCCTGCTCAGCTAATATAGGATATTACAAAGGTCTTGCTTCCTGGAACATTCAGATCTGATAATGGGCCTGCTGTAAATCTTTGATTTAACAGACCAACTTGGATTAAAATTGTCCACTAAATTATACGTATCAATAAATGTAATTGATATTTATGTCATTAAGATGTTATTTTTAGGTCATCACTTTACATAATTATGCAAGTAGTATAACTTGATGGAAACCGTAAAAATGTCAATTACATAATTATGCAAATGACACAGAGTATAACAATTTTCTGGACTGCTGCAGAAATGATGAGTCTCATGTGCTGTTTGGAGTGAAATTGAAAGGGGGAAAAAATTGTCCCAGGCATCCAAACTGCACCGAATGAAACTAGAAAATCGTTTAGGTTGTTTTGCATTAATTTCTCAGGCCATACTGTACTGTTGCAAGCCTGTTGGTAGCTTTATTTTGTTTGATTTGTGTCACTTTTAGATGCCTTTAATCTGGGTTGTCTATGTGTTTGCATGTTTTATCTGGTTTTATGGGAGGTGGGGGGGTTGGTTTTGTACACTGTCCAGAGTCCATTGCAGCTGCTGGGAGGTTGTAATACATTTAAATAAATAAATAATTTTAACTAGAAAATGAGCAGAAGAGGTGGAATTGAAACAAGGAATTCTCAACTGTTAAGAGAAATGGGCCTCTGGTGGTCCGTGATATGTGACATGTGATTCAATACTCATGCTGTGTTTGTTTTTGTTTTTCATGGATCCCCTTTTAAGTTCAGCAGACCTTCCAGTTTTGAAATATTTGTCCTAAGTAGAATAAGAAAGTTTCTTAGTACTGTACAGATTAGTTGGAACTGAGCAAAATGACGGATTTTGCCCACAAACAAATTATGCAATGGCTCACCTATCACAAGCATCCATCAGATGACATACACACTGATGCTGATGGAAAAAAATAAATACTGGTGCCACCCAGGATAAAGGAATACATCGGCCCTGAACACTTTTCAAATTATGACGTATGTGGTAAAGCTCTTATGAAAATAAATAATGGGTGATATTAATAATCTTTTACTTGTACCTAGCAAACAGCCATGTAAAAATAAGTAAAAAGAAGCAATGGGTGGAAACTAATCAAGGATAGAAGCAACCTAGCACTAAGGACACATTTCCTGACAGTTAGAACAATTAATCAGTGGAACAGCTTGCCTCCAGAAGTTGTGAATGCCACAACACTGGAAATCTTTAAGAAGATATTGCATAACCATTTATCTGAAGTGGTGTAGGGTTTCCTGCCTAAGCAAGGGGTTGGACTAGAAGACCTCCAAGGTCCCTCCCAACTCTGTTATTCTACTCCACAATTCTCAATATGACCACTTGCTCTTTTCATGGACATGATTTTGCAGTATCCACAGTATCACTTAGAGGCAAATAAGGTATACCTGCTATTCCTCATAGAGTAGTGCCTAGCTTACTACACTGAGCTTCTGGAGAAAATACAAGGTAATAATATAGCAAATAAGCAAAGTAGAGAAAGATAATAATAATAATAATAATAATAATAATAATAATAATAATAATAATAATCAGTAGCACAAATGATCCATTGGAATTTGTGCAAAAATTATAATATTAAAACAGCAACAAACTGGTGGGAACATCAGCCTGAAAAAGTCACCGAAAATCAGATGGTCAAGATCTTGTGGGATGTTCGCATACAAATACACAAAATACTGGTCAAGATCTTGTGGG